ACTGTCATCTTGTGGTCACAACTGATTGATGAGTATACTATTTCCTTACTGAAGATTTGAGGGAAAATGTCATTCACGGGTGTTAAGTGATGTCTGTCATTTATTTATTCATATACTTTCCACATAACAGTTCTAAATATAATAATAACATCTTTATGGAAAACAGATATACGGTAAATCCCCGGGTGTCAATCTAACTATAATTAACCTAGGTTTGTTATAGCGATCTTGTACGAAATGTTGCAAAGATATGTAAAGGAGAGAAAAAGAGCAGGACTAAATTGATTAGAAAATATATGTTAATTTCTAATTAATCTACTAGCCACTTACACGAGAATAACTCGGCCAGAACGGGTGACATTACAAAGACGTCCAGGGGTATAACTTTCCGGGTCGATCTACATCCATTGACAATGACACCAGTCTTTCTGAAAGTTTCTTCATAGTGCAATAAAGAACACATACAATGTGCAACACGGTTTAATGAATTGTTCAAATAAAAAGCATTTTCTCATTTGAGAACGTGACATAACTTGCTTGGATTGACCTAGATATACATGACGGATTTCATCAATGAAGTAGATAACGCTCACTCTTCCGTAAAACATGGACTTTTCTCCTTGAATTTTCTTTTGTTCATATTTCTCCCCAGATTTATTGAATTAGAGTTTGGATTGTGATTGTGTTGTCATGTTGATATTTTCTTGTTATTTCAATTTCAAACAATTAAATAAACAAATTATGTCCAGCTACGTTATAAAGATAGGAATACGCCAAGATATCATCAAGTAGCAATAGACTAACTCATATGTTAAATACATTGTATCAAGTTTTAATATTAAAAAGATACATTTAGCGGTTAATACATTGTAACAAGTTTTAATATTAAAAAGATACATTTAGCTGTTAATACATTGTAACAAGTTTTCATATTAAAAAGATACATTTAGCGGTTAATACATTGTAACAAGTTTTAATATTACAGAGACACATTTAGCGGTTAATACATTGTAACAAGTTTTCATATTAAAAAGATACATTTAGCGGTTAATACATTGTAACAAGTTTTAATATTAAAAAGACACATTTATCAATTAATACAGTGTAACAGATGTTGACGAGTCAGCAGATTTTCAGCATTCATCTGAGGATAAAATATCAATATGCAAATGTTCTTTTGAAACCATGGATCGATAAACAAACGGATTATGTCTAAGAAAATGGATATCAACACGTTTAACATACATGTACAGCTTGGTGCAGAACCATCACTGTTGATTTCGTTGACGGAAAAGATCGAAGTAAACAGCTAATGCATTCCGTCCTCTTTGCGGGCAAATGAACAACCCATCAGTCTTACTCAAGTTCAATCAACGATGTAGAGATTTATACAGAAACCTTTGAAAAAGGACAAAGTAGAATGAAACAAGATTTCTAGAAAGATACGCAAGGCCTGCTTCTCGATGGCTGCCTGGCAGGGAATCCCGGACAAAATCCACTTTTGGGTTGTTACTGTACATATCTATTTCCTCAAGCTATGGTGTTTACATGTCGAAGTTGATTTAATATTCTTGGGTCTGTTGCTCATCATCGCAATTTCATTTACCGAACAAACCAATACCATGACTAAATAGTATTTCAGGTCAAACGGTAAGAATCACCGGTGTCGTTGTTTTGTTATTGGACCTGTCTTACAATTAATCTTGGTTATTTGTCTAGAAGGTTACAAATCTGTCTATTGTCTGGCTCCAGTCTCAATAAATAATCAAATTTGCATTAAAACCCCATTTGAATAAACATGGCTTACTGGCCAGTTGATGTGTACCGTCGGGTTACAGACCAGTTGATGTGTACCGTTGGGTTACAGACCAGTTGATGTGTACCGTTGGGTTACAGACCAGTTGATGTGTACCGTCGGGTTACAGACCAGTTATTTCGTGTACCGTACGGTTACAGACCAGTTGATGTGTACCGTCAGGTTACAGACCAGTTGATGTGTACCGTCGGGTTACAGACCAGTTGATGTGTACCGTTGGGTTACAGACCAGTTATTTTGTGTACCGTGGGTTACAGACCAGTTTGTGTACCGTCGGGTTACAGACCAGTTGATGTGTACCGTAGGGTTACAGACCAGTTGATGTGTACCGTTGGGTTACAGACCAGTTGATGTGTACCGTTGGGTTACAGACCAGTTGATGTGTACCGTCGGGTTACAGACCAGTTATTTTGTGTACCGTCGGGTTACAGACCAGTTGATGTGTACCGTCAGGTTACAGACCAGTTGATGTGTACCGTCGGGTTACAGACCAGTTGATGTGTACCGTCAGGTTACAGACCAGTTGATGTGTACCGTAGTGTTACAGACCATATGATGTGTACTGTTTTTGTTACAGACCAGTTGATGTGTACCGTTGGGTTACAGACCAGTTGATGTGTACCGTAGGGTTACATACCAGTTGATGTGTGCCGTCGGGTTACAGACCAGTTCATGTGTACCGTTGGGTTACAGACCAGTTGATGTGTTCTGTTTTGTTACAGACCAGTTGATGTGTTACCGTTGGGTTAAAGACCAGTTGATGTGCACCGTCGGGTTACAGACCAGTTGATGTGTATGGCTGGAAAAATCCTTTGCCAGTCAGTAGCTATCACCGATGTCTGTCTATCGAGTCTAAAGCTGTATGTATATATGATGGGGTCGCTTCTTTCTTTAACTTCCTTTTAATAAGCCTGCTACAGCAATTTGATGTTTCCTCCTGGCTTGGATGGCTTATAAACAGGCTAAGTACATGACTACTGGTATATCCATTTCTTGTTGAAGGTCATGTCTCTGTAAGTGACACTCTGACAGGTTAGGGAAAATCCAGACACTAGATGTATAACGCTAACATAAACTAGAAAAAGGCCCTGCCACTGAAGGCGTAACTCAGACATTAGAAAAATATCATTCCAATACTTAAATTTTACAATGTGGGACTTATTGATTTCAGCAATAAATCACAGAAAGATACAAGAAAATAAATCTAGATGGATCACTAGTCAATACAGGTGTGACTCTGACATAAGAAAAGGCTGTGACACTGTAGATGTGACTCTGACATAAGAAAAGGCTGTGACACTGTAGGTGTGACTCTGACATAAGAAAAGGCTGTGACACTGTAGGTGTGACTCTGACATAAGAAAAGGCTATGACACTGTAGGTGTGACACTGACATAAGAAAAAGGCTATGACACTGTAGGTGTGACTCTGACATAAGAAAAGTCTGTGTCACTACAGGTGTGACTCTAACATTAGAAAAGGCTGTGACACTGTAGGTGTGACTCTGACATAAGAAAAGGCTGACACTGTAGGTGTGACTCTGACCTAAGAAAAGTCTGTGACATTGTAGGTGTGACTCTGACATAAGAAAAGGCTGTGACACTGAAGGTGTGACTCTAACATAAGAAAAGGCTGACACTGTAGGTGTGACTCTGACATAAGAAAAGGTTGTGACACTGTAGGTGTGACTCTGACATAAGAAAAGTCTGTGTCACTACAGGTGTGACTCTGACATAAGAAAAGGCTGTGACACTGTAGGTGTGACTCTGACATAAGAAAAGGCTGACGCTGTAGGTGTGACTCTGACCTAAGAAAAGTCTGTGACATTGTAGGTGTGACTCAGACATAAGAAAAGGCTGTGACACTGTAGGTGTGACTCTGACATAAGAAAAGGCTGTGACACTGTAGGTGTAACTCTGACATAAGAAAAGGCTGACACTGTAGGTGTGACTCTGACCTAAGAAAAGTCTGTGACATTGTAGGTGTGACTCTGACATAAGAAAAGGCTGTGACACTGTAGGTGTGACTCTGACATAAGAAAAGGCTGTGACACTGTAGGTGTAACTCTGACATAAGAAAAGGCTGTGACACTGTAGGTGTGACTCTGACATAAGAAAAGTCTGTGTCACTACAGGTGTGACTCTGACATAAGAAAAGGCTGACACTGTAGGTGTGACTCTGACATAAGAAAAGGCTGTGACACTGTAGGTGTGACTCTGACATAAGAAAAGTCTGTGACACTGTAGGTGTGATTCTGACATAAGAAAAGGCTGACACCGTAGGTGTGACTCTGACATAAGAAAAGGCTGTGACACTGTAGGTGTGACTCTGACATAAGAAAAGTCTGTGACACTGTAGGTGTGATTCTGACATGTGACACTGTAGGTGTAATTCTGACATAAGGTCCTTCTACAGTAATTATATGTCTGACCCAAACAATGACCCTGATCAGCAAGCCAAAATATTGACCTTAGATTTGAACTTCTTTCTGATCCATTGAGAAGGCTGGATTGACAGAAAAAGACCTAACTATTTATAAACATATCACAGTGCATCAGTATCATAATGACTAGAAGAAAAAAATATTGGTCCTCTGGATTCTGAGAAAAATCAACTTGATTGCAGTCCTCTAATAAAACAACAGAATAATTATCAACCTGAAAGTTTTATTCCACATTTTATTATACATTCATAAGATACATTCTAACAACAATACTCCCACTCACCATTCACACAGTAGTACATTGATTTGTGGAGTCACCTCACTATCTACAGTAGTAAACATCATCCACTTCCAATGTACATAATCATGTATAGTGTACAATTTATATGCCAGTGTGCTTTCACAAAAATATGTTTGCATCAACATACAATGTACCAACAAATTTTGTTACAAAAAGTACTGGTAAACTGTTACATACAATGTATCAGTAAACACTGACATACAATGTATCAGTAAACACTGACATACAATGTATCAGTAAACACTGACGTACAATGTATCAGTAAACACTGACATACAATGTATCAGTAAACTGTTACATACAATGTATCAGTACATACAATGTATCAGTAAACACTGACATACAGTAGACATTGATATACAATATATCTGTAAACACAGACAAACAATGTATCAGTAAACATTGACATACAATGTAACAGTAATCTGTTACATACAATGTATCAGTAAACACTGACATACAATGTATCAGTAAACATTGACATACAATGTAACAGTAAACATTGACATACAATGTATCAGTAAACAATGACATATTAAGTATCAGACTGTGTTGACATACAGAGTTTAAGTTACCAATGATACATAATAAATGTATTGGTAAAAGTTGGATACTTGAGATACCAGTAGACTTGATTTCACAATTTGTGATGCCTGCAAAACAGATATAAATGTATTCTACATTTCCTAGATTGGTGAAATGATTTGTTGTGTGTAATTCATTCTGTCAAATATTCAAACTTCATCTTCGTTCAGTAACATGTTTGGAATTCCAGAACTGATTGGGAACTGACGGCCAGATTCTGGACATACTAGATTTCCTTCAATCACTTCAACCTGAAAAAGGAAGGACAAAAATATTTAAAAATTTAAAATATCTAGTAAAATGTATGGTAATAGTACAATGTCTGGCTGTAGGAAAAATGCTTTGTCTTACAGAAGGACAAAATCACAACATTTGGCTTTAGGACAAAATCACAGTGTGTTGGGACAAAATCATAATAGATGCCAAAAGCACAATATCACATTGTCTTAAAGAAGAACAAAATCAAAACAACTGGCCTTCAGATAAAATTATGACATCTAACAAAATAACAAAATTAGAATGTCTGGCAGTAGGTCGAACCACAATATCTTACAGAAGATCAAAATCACAATATGTGACTGTAGGACAAAAAAAAATCTGAGTTAAGAATGAAATTACTATGCCCAAATGTAGATAGTGGTTATAATGTCCTACTTGGATAAATCCCAATGTCTGACTGTAGAATAAATGTACATTGTCTGACCGTAAGACATTATAATGTGTGAATATAGGTTAAAATTGCAGTGGTTGATAGGCTGACAAAAAAAAAAATGTCTGACAGAAGAATAAAAGTAATAACAACATCAAATTCATTGAAGGACAAAATTTCAAGCTACAGAAGGGCAAAATTAAAATGTTCAAAAATGTAGGGCAAAATTACAGTGTACAAAACTGTAGGGCAAAATGAAAATGTTCAAAATTGTAGGGCAAAATTACAGTGCAAAATTACAAAACTATTAAAATGGGCAAAATTACAGTGTACAAAACTGTAGGGCAAAATTAAAATGTTCAAAAATGTAGGGCAAAATTACAGTGTACAAAAACTGTAGGGCAAAATTAAAATGTTCAAAAATGTAGGGCAAAATTACAGTGTAAAAAACTGTAGGGCAAAATTACAGTGTACAAAACTGTAGGGCAAAATTACAGTGTTACAAAACTGTAGGGCAAAATTAAGATGTTCAAAAATGTAGGGCAAAATTACAGTGTACAAAACTGTAGGTCAAAATTAAAATGTTAAAAAATGTAGGGCAAAATTACAGTGTACAAAACTGTAGGGCAAAATTAAAATGTTCAAAAATGTAGGGCAAAATTACAGTGTACAAAACTGTAGGGCAAGGTTACAATGTACAAAACTGTAGGGCATAATTACGACGTCCAAAACTGTAGGGCAAAATTACAATGTACAAAATTGTAGGGCAAAATTGAAATGTTCAAAAAGGTAGGGTAAAAATACAATATAAAATATGGAAAGGATTTGAAATCTGTTGACAGTCAGCTCATATGATTTGGAAACCTGTACATGATTCTTATAAAGTCAGGGATCTATACCTGCATCATGACATGGTGCACTTTTTTAAGTAACTCCTCATCCTCTTCGTAATTCTCTTTGAGTGTCTCTGGCAAGCCCTCTCCATGGCCGACCTGCAAACAGATTATGCTCAGTCAACAACTTTCAAAATTTTTGGTTCATAGCTTAATCACAGGCACATAGCTATACAGTTTAGCTCGCTGAAAAAAAAAGTATGTGCATATATCTCTTATATATTCCTGCATACTATTTTCTATCAGCAAACTAACTGCCTAGTTTTATAAATATACACAAACTAAGTTGTATTTAATGTGTTTGTTTATAATAAGCCCACCCATATACCATCCACCCCTTTACATTTATATGTCAACTGCCTTAGGCTGTTGCAGGATAAATAGGAAAGTCAGTCTATAGACTTGTGATCAACTTCATCTTATCTCTGGTGGCAGGTACTGTTCGACATACACTAACTTACATCTATATATTTAAATGATCTTCTTTTAAAAACTGACTGAAATATTTGGTTGTAAACATGTTCATATGAGGTTATCAGTACGGAGAATTGTTCCATGATCAATATTAAAATGATAACCAGAATTTATCAATTATTTGTAATACTTTTACATTGAACCAATCTGTAGGTACAGACCTACACCTAATATAGATGTAGGACATATAAATATACATGTACTCACTGACTGTGCAGCTTGATGAAGGGCTGGCCAATCCATTTTCGGTAACATCCGTGTGATAAATTCTGGGTTGAAGTCAACTGTTTTTATCTCAATTTGACTGGCCTGTTGAGAATAAAACCATAATCAGAAATATTTACATGATTTGGGGGTTTTGTACTTAATTCTTACATCATGCACATGTTACATGAATTGCACACGTGACATCTTTTCTAATTAACTAGTAGTGCGATCAAAATGCATTTGTTCCTAACAATGAAGCAGAGCAATTTCGAAAGAAATATCACTGGAATACATTTAAAAAACTTCACTCGAGGCATCTGTTTATAACGTAAAAGTCAGTTGAACGTTCCAATACAGAAATACAGTGGGTAAATTAAAGACGTATTTAATTTAGTAATCGCACGTCCCCGTTGAAATGAACATTATGAGTATATTTTACTTACTACAATTTTCAATGGGTATCCATTCGTTGTGTTCTTTATTATGTTGGAAGTCAGCATATTATGAGTGATAAGCTTCATCTTGCTGTTTCTCACTTTACCATGTGGTGATGTAAACAGGAAGTACAATAGAAATTTAAGGATGACAGAAACAAGTGGAAAGCAATCCTATAATAAGCATATATATTTCATTAGGTTACAGTCCTATTAAAATGTGTAATTATAAACAATACAGTAAATAGATCATTAGGTAATTTTTCAGTTTAATCATCAAAAATATATTTTGACATCACGTAGGTGCTTTTCGTTTTAATCAAGGATTTTAATTGTCTGTCATAAAGTTATATCAACCAAGATGGCTGCGCCCTAAACTTGAAAGCCACGCACATGTGTATCATTGCAACATCAATCAGTTAAATATTATCCAAGAAAAAGAAACTATTTGAATCGCAATATTTTCCCAATTTGATTTGAAAATGTCCAGGAAAAAATCACATGTGTTCACTACAGATTTGGACTTTTGTCCCGACTGTGGATCTGTTCTGCCATTACCGACGTATGAACAATTCGTCGCATGCAAAACGTGTTCTTTCAAAATTGATGTTTATGGCAAGTATTTTAATTACAGATATACCCAGAAAATATTTTTGTGAGTTTATCTTGTTCGCGACCAGGACAAACATAAGTTACTGGATATCCTGAACCCATTGGACTAATTGAACGTATATATATAAGTCTGGAAAGTGAGGGGTCCCAGGTTAAATGCCACAATTTTAATGGTGACACTGAAAGGAATGCATACCTTTATTACACTGATGCCGATGTAGGATATGAGGAGATATTGACAACACTATTATATTGAATTTGTTGTTGGTTTCACAATACTGTTGTTGTTAATCCATGAAAGGTTGAGGACAACTGCTCTCCTGAAATGGGAGTATGTTGTCCTGGTAAATATTAATCACAATATATCACTCAGGCAGAGAGAACTTCTCTAACAGTGAGTTTGATTGGTTAAGACAAAGTCTAGAATGTCAGAGATCATGCGATTGATCCTTATTGGCATATTTGAATAAACAATTATCTTTAGATCTGTTCCTGAGGATTCTGTATAACAAAATGAATGGGAATTGCCACAGATATCAGTGCAAATGTTTGATTTACAAATGGTCTTTTATATTTTCAAATAGTGTTCCCACAATAAAGGTTTTCAGCAGTATTTGATACTTGTATTATATGATGTTACACACTGTCCTCTATCTGTTACATCCTCCCTAAGTTTTATGGTCTAGATGGCAAATTCTATATTCAATCCACATTTTTCTGTTTGATATTAAACCATTCAGAAATTAAAGAGACTTCAAAAAGGGGGAAGGCGTCAACATCAGGTGTAAATAGGTGGGTCTTAAGTGGGGTACTTCACAATGAGTATGGAATCCTAAAGGTATACAGGACCATTAAATAAAAAGTGTATAGTATTTTAATCAATAAGTGCTACAAACTTTTGAAGAAATATGAACTGCTTGAAAATTAAGGCACTTACCTCCCCTTGAGAATTGTTGATTGTCATAGTAAACAATCAAAAGTTCTTTGTAGCAATTTTGTCCTAATGAAGCCTCTGTGATAGAGGCAAAACTATTAGACAGATAAATCACTCACCATAGGTAACGCATGAGTATGTTGTGATTAATATCCTCTTCTCATGAGAATTAAGAACTTCAGTGTATTTTGTTGTCACTTGTAGTCATGGAGATTGTCAACACTTCCTTGATTATGTGTATATAATCACATATGTTAATTATTTTTACCCTTAAGAATTTGATGCTGTGAAAACCTGTTCACGAATTGTGTTCAACACATCGGATAAAGCAGCTTTAAAAGCTCAGGAGGAGACTGGTGAGCTAACAGGGCCAACAGTAAGTACCTTATATCATGCTAAAAACACACTAAATCCCTACTATAATCTTACTCATATGGGGGTTTTATTCGGACAAATAACAAACAAATGCTGGTTCCTTGTCCAGTAATACATATACCCTGGGCTTATTGCCCTATAATAAGTCAACCCTGACTTTGATGAGAAGTTTGGTACTGTACACTGGGCTTATTGTCATGTAATAAGCAAACCATGTATTTAATGAAAGGTTACATGTTTTATTCTGGGCTTATTGCAAGATAATTACACTTATCTTATTGTGATCCACTCAAAAACTTGCTGCATCAAAGTACATACATGTAATTAGAGAATTTTGATCAGAATTAGCTTTTGTAAAATAAGTGCACTGTTATGTGAAGAAAATACCGAATGTATTTGTGTAGCAAGATTAACAGACAGGTGATCAAACTTCAACTGTTTGGTTATGTATAGTTATTTCAATTAGGTACAGTTTATCTGTGAAAATTGCCATACATGCTTAAGATTCCACAATTATCCAACAGGTTGACAGAAAATGTCCTAAATGTGGGCATGAAGGAATGGTGTATACCACGAGACAAACACGATCTGCTGATGAAGGACAGACAGTCTTCTTTTCCTGTCCTGATTGCAGGTATGTTTATTCGATATTTATACATATATACGTATAATTAATCTGATGATAATGGACGTTTCTTTCTGTTTTACTCTCTGTATCATCATCTTATCCATCAATATTTACACTTGATTCATTTTTTCTACAGATTCCAGGAGATTGAATATTCCTGAGTTTGAAGGATTGCAGTTGGTATCGGCAGTGTGTAATCGTCATCTGTCCATCGTTGTCCCATACATGTATTTCGGACAACGGTCACCCAAAGTATACACGCGGAACAGTATACAGAACTTGTTATACCCAAGTTTTAAATTCACATTAGAGACATGTCATTGTTCAATTAACTATTTAGAAATTGTTAATTTTTTAAGATATTTTATTAATAAATGGACATTGTGTAGCAATCTGTCATTTCTGTTTTAATGAAAAAGATGGTAAGAAGAGGAAACATCTTAAAGATACAATATTAAAATTGTAACTGGTATTGGAATGTGATACAAGTGGAAATGGTATATTTAGTGTGATAGAATAAGTGTATAAGTTGAAATAATTAATGATACAGATAACTACCCCCCTCCCCCCCATTAATAATGGATTGAATGGAAATTCCTATTATATATGAGACAGACATTCTTCTTCTCCTGTCCTGATTGCAGGTGTATATAATATAGGACAGACATTCTTTTCCTGTCCTAATTGCAGGTGTATATATTATAGGACAGACATTCTTTTCATGTCCTTATTGCAGGTGTATATATTATATAAGCCAACCTTCTTTTCCTGTCCTGATTGCAGTTGTATATATTATAGGACAGCCAACCTCCTTTTCCTGTCCTGATTGCTGGTGTATATATTCAATATACATATATAATTAAGCTGATGATAACGGACGGTCATTTTTCTTTTCCTCGCTGTAGCTTCATCCTGTCCATCAATGTTTACTCTTTGTTCATTTTGTCTTCAGATTTATTGTTCTGTAATAAGTTTACTGCTGACTTTGATGAGAAATCAGGGGTTGAACCCTGGACTTATTGTTCTGTAATAAGCCTACTGACTTTGACAAGAAATTACTTACTTACTATTTTATATATATTTGTAGATATATATATATATGATATATGTTACATGAATAAAAATTAACAAACAACTTACAGAAGATTTTTTTGAAATTTTATTTTCTGTTAGTTTGTAAATCAACATATTAACAATACAGATTTACACACTTTGTGTAGTTTCATTACTTATCTGTACATTTTCTGTACTTTGTTAAAAAAAAACACAATTTATTCTCTGGTGTGATGCTGTTTACTATGATAACATGACACAAATTTTTCTGTGACCCTTAAAAAGAAAAAAAGTATTTACTCCAGAAACAACAAAAACTATCGAAAGAAACTTTGTGTGTTAAGTCATACCATATGTAGATATGAAATGAATATTTATACTTGGAGGCAATAAATGTTTTGAATGATATATTTTCACTGATGGCTCACAACCATTCTCTCAGATACTAACAGGTTATCTTAAAACTAACATAACATGATAACTAAATATACTGTAAATGCAGGTCTGTATTACAAACTTTGGCAAGTACCAAAATAGTCATTTAAATTAATGATTTTTAACAGGAAACATCAACAGAACATAATGATTCAGATAGATATGATTCCAGACTCCAAACTAAATGTATACACAAGTGATTACTCTACAATTTCACTAACTCTGTGAACCAAATTTACATCATCAGCTGGTGAGTTAGTGCTGGGAGGACACTATCAAGTGAGGACAGATGAAGAAAAATGACATCTTGTTCACCTCTCTACCATTCGTGTTTGGGAGTATTACAATCACAATGAGTTATAACACAAAGACAGCCAAATTTGTGCTTGAGAAATATTTATATGTTACAAATAATCAAACAGGTGTAGAGGTATTATTTGAGATTCAGCCCATTTTTAAAATAACTTTAAATGTATATTCAATTTTTATTGGTTAAAAAGGAACAAGGACGGTAACTGTACTGCAGATTTACTGTTGTGTCTTCTACACGTGTTTGAATAGAGAGAAGTGACAAAAGGAACAAGGCAAAGAGATCTGTTGGAATTATTCAGATCCCTGAAGCTAAACCCGAAGTAAACATGATAATACTATTTGACTAGAAAGCTTAATTCTAAACACTACTGTGTTTAACAAAATCAGATATTGGAAAAGAAATGTACTTATATTATATATAATTATACATACAAGATGTAGGTTCTGATTTTAAAAAAAAATTCTCTTATGACAGATATTACAGCCTAAGGCAAGTTTTTTATGAATTTCTAATTTTATGAATGTGCGTAAGACATCCACATTTTTTTATGTGCAAGTAAAATAAAACACAGTTTTGTGAAAAAATATGAAACATTAATTCAATATCAGCTGGAGTAAATAAAGGTTGCTTGATGCACAGGTACCAAAATCTAGGCTATATATTATGTGGTTTGATGTGGTGATTTTTCTCTCTACAATTTTAACATAAACAGACACTTATGTACAAGTCCATTCTAACTGCCATTAACAGTGATTGTGATAAAAACAGAAAAAAAACAGAAAATAAAAGAAAACATTCAGTTATACCTACACCTTCTGTATCATTATAGTATGTATAAATATGTGATGGACTGAAACAGTTTTACAAGAAAAGTACAAAATGAACTTAAATTTTATGAATACAATAAAAGCTGATTTGGAGTTAAACATATTAATCGGTATACTTGACGTTTGAATTTTACTTAACGATACAGAAAAATACCATAATTAAAAACTAATTACAATAAACCTACAAGAAGAAAATAAAATACAATGATAACATAAATACATTATACGTTTCTAAAAATAAACTTAACTAGACAACCATGTTGATTAAGAATTAAAACTTGTTGTTTAAGCAACCAATAATTCACTGAAGTTTCAGGTACGTTGGGAGAACCCAACTTCATGACAGATTTGAATAATGTCCGATGCTAATACAACAATCCTTTCATAAAAAACAAGCATTCAAACATTTGCTACACAAACATCAGAGACCATTTTTATTAAATATATGAAAAAGAAACAAGAAGCACAAACACCACATGTAAAAACAACACAAATCAGCACTTAACAGCACAACACTATGTATTTTATATTCCTACTTGTTTTCTGACATACTTTTTACCTAATTTATATTTTAATTCATTTATGTTTTGATATGGTGATTTACATATTAAAATTAATCTATTAATTTATATACCTTATAAATCCTGTAACTATTGGTTACAAACTGATACTAACAGGGTAACTGGTTCATATATATCCTGGTAAGGATTTGAATGATGATAAGACACCAGATTCCAACCCAGATGGTTGTGATAAGGGTAATCCAGCCAGACAGAAAAATTACCACTCACTGTCTGAAGTAATGAACTAACCTCCATTATTATCTGCAATAATCATAAATTATTCATTGCTTAAGTAAAAATCATAAACCCCTTCATGATGCGCATACAATTTCTATTAAGACGTTACATGTTCTTTTGTGATCTTTTGTCTAAATTATGAAATTCTGAAAAAAGATATGAAGTCTTTCATGTAAATTATAACTACTCTTAAAATATAAATTATTAATAAAAAAACAGATTCTTGCACAATTTCAAGAAAAAATATTTCTCAAACAAAACTATCATCTTTTCAGGAAATGTATAAAGTAAAACTTAAATTTAAAAACATAAATTAGCACAAACCAGACATGTTGCAATTTTATCACTTAAAAAAATAATTTTACCCATTTAAATTTAAAAGTAATAATTGCAACAAAAATATCACTTACGAATCAATGCAAGATATTTCTGTTTAAAGATATTCCATTACATTCATATTCAATAAAGATATATTTCTAAAATTTAGACACTAGAAAAAAAAATAGCACCATTCCCCAGGTACATACCATACAGGACCTTCTAAATCTCTGCTTTGGAGATTTCAGTTCTCCACCGTAACAAGTATATTTGTCAACAGATAACCTAGAAATCTTTTATGTAGTTGATGGAGTTTGAAACCGAAGAAAAAAAAAATATACAGTAAATTAGAAAAAATTGTATGATGATATTCATCATTTGACCTTTCACATTATTTTAAATATTCACATCATATTTCCATGTAAGCCATGTAGTGATATTGAATAACAACGGTCAAGTGTTTCTTTTTAAAATGATATTCATTTTTTGTCATCATTGATACTGATTACACAACATCTCATAAGCAATCAATGAGTCCTGTTAATAACAGTAGAAAGATGAGATGGTCAATGAAGGGATTGATTTAATGTACATTTTTGTACATGTTGTAACTCTGACCGACAGATTTATTCACTGGACAACCTGTTCTATTTTACAGTAATTTAAATGTTCCTGGTTACAACTGTAGCATACACTGGATGTTATGATAAATACCATTTCAGTAAATATCTTGGATACAGATATTTTCAAGCAAGAAGAGGCCCATTGGGCCTTAACAGTCATCTGCCTGTAATGGCCTCTAAATGATAGAATAGCAGTTGTGGTATTGTAAGCAATTAGATTATTAAAACAATCTAAACATTTTAGCAGTTAAGACAACAAAAACAATGTGTCACTATTTAATTTCAGCTCAATGGCATCAGTTGTACTGGAGATGAGATAAAGAATGTGTTTTTTTTTTTACGAGAGGGCAGTCGTGACAGCGTTGGATTTTGGACAAATTAAAAAAATAAAACACTTGGTCAGAATCATCTCACGGTCATTTTAGGCAAGTTTTAGCTGAATTTCACCAATGGAACTTGAGAAAAAAAGAAGTTTACAGTAGATATCGTTCAGGAAAACCATAACAGTGCAATCATGTTACAAAATGGCTGTCACATGTGAAAGTTTACAGCAGGCTAAACAATACTGTGTTGGCTTCCTTTTCTTAACAATCCCACCAATTTTCAGTTCAACAGTGCCAGTGGAATTTGAGATAAATTTTTAAATATAAGTCCGACTGACTCGAAAAACAAAGAAAATTTCAGGCAAGTTTGACTGAATGTCACAGGTGGAACATTAACTTGAGAAGAATTTCATAATGTGAAAAATTTATGCATAGCACACAATAGCTTCACGTCAGATGACCTAAATACCACACATAGATCATAGACATTATTAACTCAAAGACAGATGATGTTTGTTGAATGAAATCAAAGATAAATATCGAGTGAAAATGAGTATCAGCTTAACATGATTTTCTTTATCAACTTACAAGCAGTAATTTCAAGAATAAGTTGAAATATGAACTGATGTTTTTGTTTGTTTGTTTTAACAAATTTCTTAACAATTTCTTTTGACAAGGCAAATTTGTTCCAAGAGTCAAATTCACTTACAACTTTTACAAATATTAACACAGATAAACACAACAGATAGCTTATTGTATACTAACTACATATATATTTGTAATACAACCAGAGACAATCTGTCAATAATTTTAATAAAAAATCACATTTATTCCATTCAAAAATAGGAAAAAAAGGAATGCTTCAGTAACGTATGATTCTTAGAGAAAAAAAAGAAAATAATGTTAATCATTGCCATCCCTTACAACAACCATAAAAAAATGTCTCAAACTTCCCTTCAAAAAATCCAATTCAAATCATATCAAGGAAATCATGTTCAAAGATCAAAGGAAAAAATCATTCTGACAAGTGTAAAGATTTTTCAGTATAACACTAATAGCACTGCCTTTTATTCAAGGAAATCTGGATTATTTTCCAGTTTGTAAACTGTTTTTACTGTTAAAGCCACTCTCCACTGGTCCTTGTTATTTTCTTCTGGTACAATCATTTAAAATACTTTTTATTAGATTCAATATGAAAGCTCACTCAAACTAAAATAAATTTGTGACTATGCTCACCTAATACATGATTAGCAAAGTCTCAGATTGGTCCAGTTTTCCATGAAAGAAAATGAGTTGATACCCAACAAAATGTTCAAACAACAGCACCCAGTCTATCCTATTCCTTTTCATACAACTCTTTTTCATTGTAAAGCTGCCTGCTGAAGCAAATTTACTGACAAGCTGAAGATTTCATCGTTTCATGTTTTGTTTTCACAAATGCCATGTCACAAACCATCAAAGATTGGTAAGAGCACACAATGAGTGTCAGTCCCTCACTGTATTGAGCACACACCACTGGACTTCTGGGAGGGTTGAGGTGCTGGGGCTGGTGTGATGAGGGCTCGACGTCTTTGGGCTGAAATTATTGTGGAAAAAAATGAAGTTAATACAAAACTTAGGCAAATAAATGATAAAAACTGCCACATAAGTTTATTTTTAATGGAAAACTTCTGCCAAGTTAAATAATTAATTTCAAATTTTATGTAACTAGATAGGTCTTCAGAATGCATTCTAAACCAAATCCACATACCTGTCATAAACACATCACGATCAAATTTCCCAGCAGCAAGTTGTACGCTGTAATACAATGTGAAAAATTAGACTTGATAGTTTTGATATCAAACAAATGTTTTAAAATGGTAAGTTTCTTCCCATATTTTTTTCACCTTGAGTGATTTTTATTTTTAGAATCATGTATTACCAGCGAGTAAGAGCTAATATTCATTGTTATACTACAAGGGCGTATCATTTATATGTGTGTAGTGTTCATGCTTTTTTCCTCTTTTGTAATATGGCCTCATTCGGATGCAGTGGTCAAAAATTAATAATATTCTTTAAACATAAAATATATATAAACAAATGGGCAATATATTATACTCCTATCAGTCTTTTCATTAATATTGCCTAAAATACCAAGTGATTATAATACAAAATCTACATTAACCTTCTTTTTTTCTTTTTAAATTATTCAAATTTGTAAATTTAAGATATTTCATGATTTAGATCTATCAAATTCACATTAATATATTCTTCTTGGAAAAAAAAAAGGAAAAAATTCTGTGATTGAAATTTTCTCTTGTGACGAACTGTACCACTACAGCATTCTAACCTTTCTCTCCCAGGCTTGACAGCAGCCTCATAAATACCATACACAGGACGATGGTCTGACACTCGAATGTTCATCACTGCATCATAGTGAACACAGTTAACAGAGTTCTTTTTCTTTGAATGGTAGAGTATTCGGTCCTGTAACAGTGAAGATATTTGTGATTATGGTCAAGCAGTTAGCACTGTATCTATCCGTAATACAAGCATTTCAGGGAACATTTCATATTCAACAGATTTAACTTACTTCTACCTATCATTTCAGAATCAATAATATCCACTTGCACACAAAATAATCAGCTCAAAACAATGAAACAAGAGGCCCAGAGGGCCTGTATTGTTCAGCTGGATCTTTATGACCAACATTACTATATCTGTGCATATGTTCCACAGTAGATGCTTAAAGAAATATGTCAAATTACTGCATATGGGTTCTGTCCGTTAGTAGTCAGCCCCCTCATCTGTGCAATGTTCAATTGAGACTTTCTTATGATGTTTCCACTTAAATATAATTGATAGCTTTCTTTTAAATCGAGGAAAGAAGATGGTCAAACAATATAGCAGAAAAACTCTTAGTTATAGCTGGATGGATGACCCAGGACAGCAGAAGCTTACTTGCCCTTTAGATCATTGTTTACAAACACAGATACAACATATTTGAGATTTGCACAAGTCAACAATATATAGCAACAATTCAATATAAAGACAGGAAAAATTAAGGTACATGTAATTATAAACCATAATCCTAACTCATAACCAATAATAAGACCTTTCATGCATATCATTAGTCAGTTAAGCCCCGCCCACTGGAGATCTACTGATAACAGTTTACTGTAGACCTATAAACACTGCATAGCAAATGGCTTCAACTTAGAATTTCTTATTTATTCATATTATAATTATGCAGAATCTTACATCAAAATGAAGCTCTTGCAATTCCCTCTCCGATCATGTTTTCTTTATTTTAATGCTGTGAATAGAACATAAGTAATTGGCTCATATGTATTTTTTTCACTGTGTAACATTACTTATCCCAAGCCCTCCAGACCTCCAGTGGGCGTGGCCCAATCTATTTTTTTGGGAACATTGTGTTTTGGATAACCAGAAAATATAATTTAAATGTTTAACACATTTGACCCCTGAGTACATATTGTACTTTTGCACTTTGAACAATAGTATTTGCTTGAAAGTACTAACCTGTGGTTGAGAATTGTTTACTTCAATGATTTTATTTCAGGGAGAGTAATCAATCACAGTTATTTTCACTTTGTAGGTAAGGGTTCCAGGCAAGTCAGTAAAATGGCAAGACGACATTTCCCTACAGGGGGAGTATGTCACAGGGTAAATTGGAGTAAGTGTCTGTAACGTCCTGTTTAATCTGTATTCGTTACTGTCCGTGCATTTACGCGTATGTCCTTATTTGGTGTTACCTGTTAGGTAGTGTCAGTGTCTGTCCTTATATGGTGTTGTCTTGAGACGTGTACTTGTCCAGGTGTGACAGGTGAGGAAGTCATGCAAGAGTGAGTGTGTAGGGTAATAAAACTATGGATACCCCTGGGTGCTGGGCAGAATCACAGATTAGCCACGTCGCTCTGGACGTCCTCAGGAGTCTAGGCGCCACATATAGCTATGGTTAAGTTACTGACACGACCCGACGGTCGGTGTAGTGAGGTGGTTGTAATCCAAAACCAGGGGTATTAAAAAAAAAACGTCAACACACAACGAATTGGAGCTGATGGTGTGACACATCAATGATCATTAGACCCTAATCTTCTGTTAATAGTCGTAGGGTATGTCCAACAGAAACAATTGTCATTAAGAAACCATCTGTACTACTGTGTACTTACGGTGTAGGAAGGTATCCTAATCTTCTGTTAACAGTCGTAGGGTATGTCCACTAGAAACAATTGTCATTAAGAAACCATCTGTACTACTGTGTACTTACGGTGTCGGAAGGTATCCTGAACTTCTGTTAACAGTTGTAGGGTATGTCCACCAGAAACCATTGTCATTAAGAAACCATCTGTACTACTGTGTACTTACGGTGTAGGAAGGTATCCTGATCTTCTGTTAACAGTCGTAGGGTATGTCCACCAGAAACAATTGTCATTAAGAAACCATCTGTACTACTGTGTACTTACGGTGTAGGAAGGTATCCTGATCTTCTGTTAACAGTCGTAGGGTATGTCCACCACAAACAATTGTCATTAAGAAACCATCTGTACTACTGTGTACTTACGGTGTAGGAAGGTATCCTGAACTTGGGTGATGTGTCATAAGCCTCAGATTCCAAGTCAAACTTGTAAGTGGGCTTGAAGTTTATTCTTCCTTCTGTAAATCCTTGGAAGGCTTTTTCTAAAATCAAAATTATACAGAAATTTGTTCAGGTTCAAAAGAAAACATCAAAATCATAGTTATAAAATTGAATAAACAGATTATTCAAAATTACAAATAGTGCAAACTGCATGAAACTATACATACATTTCAACATAAATATTTACTGATATTTATTTGTTTTAATGTTATTGAAAGTCTCAACTGTTGTAAACATTTGAGTGAATCTGTGGGATGTTGAAACAGGTACATTTGCAGATCTTGGCAACATCTCATACCCAAGAAGTTCACAATGGTAATCACTTTTGAATTCCAGGCTCAATTTTTTTTTTTATTTTTTTTTTTTTTGTAACTGTCTTGGTGAACTAGATTCTGGTACAATGTAGATATGGTTTCTATCTTACAGAGAAAATTAATGTTGAATCTTGGAATAATGTCTGAATTACTGTGGTCGTAGAACTGCTCAACAGTTCTATATGAATCAGCATTAGCACTACTCAATTTCACACATTCCAATTTTAATTATAAACAATACATTGATATATAGATCTCAGACTACTGGAGTTTGTGAAAGTTTCTAAAGAACAAGAAAAAAAATATAACTTTTACTAATAATCTTTTTCATTGCATTTTCATCGCAAAATAATATATAAGTCTTAATTTTTAAAAAGGTTCATATCAAATGATTGATTTAGGATATATAATGTATATATATTAGTAGGTTACTATCTAACTTACCTATGACAGCAATACAATTGCATGAAAATGGCCACAAGGTTTGAAAAAGTGACTGTGATTCGGAATTTTAGTTGTGAAGTTTATATTTTGTTTTTATATTTATATATATCACCAAAATATGAGAGTGACACTACATAATTAAAAGTTGTTCAAATTAGACATGAATTCATACAAATAAGATCAAATAAACCAGGACATTTATTGGGCAAATGAAACAAATTTGGTGATTTCATGTGATGAAACTTGAGAGGCAATAAAAAGACAGAAAAAGAAAAAAAATGTAAATTACCTTTATATATACACTGTGCTAACTCATCCCCTTGAAGGAGGTCTTCAAAGTTAGGGTGTTCCTGTTTCACAATAGCATGTACGAGATCCTCAACTGTGTGCCGCCCTTTCTCCAGACGAAAATTTAAATCTCCAAACCAGAAAACTGAATCAAACTTGGAAGAGGCGGGGCCTATCGAAAGGCAGAAAAATGTTTGTACGTCTACTACAAGTTTGTTTGTCAACAAGGTTTGTTTTGTCAACAAATTGTCAAATATTATACAGGTTGTAACAATTTTACAGGTTTTAACTACATGTGGAAATGGTTATTTCTAAAATTACACAAAGGATGACCTAAAGTTTAAGAAAGTAGGGAAAAACATAATAGATAAAAAAAAATAGTTAAATTTTGTAAAATAATTAAATATGTTATGTTAACAGATTAAATTACAAAAAGTATACAAACTCATCCCTACACTTTTTGGTCCGTAATCACAATTACGATGTGTCTTACCTTGTATATTAGATTGTGATCCAGATGATGTCTTTGGTAACTTCAAAGTCGTGTTGATTTTATGAAAATCACTTATTCTTTCTTTTAGCTTCCCAGAATCAGCTGAAAAAGAAAATGCCAGAACATATACAAAAAACTTTTTCCAAAATCGTCAAAAGAAATCAGGCTAAAATTATATACTGATTAAGTCACATTTAAACTTTTCTTTTGAAATCAATAATTAAATTATATACATTAAATTATTGCATTATGATTTTGATTGCAATTTTTACAAAAGTTTAAAGTGTACGATGATGTTAAAACTAGGTTAATGATAGGAAAAAATACTTCCTCTTTCTTTATTATGAAAAAATCATAATTGAATTGAATCTGTAACCTAGTCTGTAAAATTTGTACAGAAAATAAAGATGTTATGATACAACATTACAAGACAGACATTGGGCATTATATTTAGGCAAAAATGTGGTGTGAAATGGAATGACTTCACAAGATTCATCACTACAGTGTAGAAGTTAAACAACTTGATAAAACGTGAGTCTTTTATCACCATTTAATCATCGTATCACTACTCTTATTATATAATGGTTCTATTACATCATAATATATAATACTGATGACATGGGCAAATTACAAAGCAAAACAGTCTGACTAATCATTTACAATATATAGACAACAACTGGAGGAACTCTATATTTAAATTTGTACGAAAGGTACAAAAAAAATGTCTTTTAGAACTATTTAATGGTCACTTTTTTTATCTCTCTTGAGAATTTGTGACCTCATCTGATCATTATAACAATTCAGGTGTCTACAGACACAAAAACTGTCAATTCACCCCTGTTTGTGTATTCTAACTTCTGAGTGAGCTCAACATTAAACAGAAAACAAAAAGTTTAGAAAATGAATATAACAATAAACCTGGAATTATTTTTTGAAGTTTTTGAAAAAAATATGAAATAAATGTACAATAAGCATGTCAGTATTTGTTGAATACTTCACATTAATTTAAATATTGACATAATTTCATGACATATCTTATCCTTTATCAAAATAACCAAAACACGAAACTAAAATTTCCATCAGTACAGAACATCAGTATCTATCCTTGTTTCTTGTTTTCTCTACATTGTCACATACTCAACACTTTTTAACTTTAAATCACAGATAAAAAAATGTCAATGGCCTTTTACAATTATTCAACGTTGAGATCTAAACAGAATATAAATCATTATTGCAGATTAACACCTGTCAACACACATAATTTTAATGTGTCAATATGTTAAGGTGTTATTACTATTTTTCAGTAACTGGTGACAATTTGAATTTAAGAATGAGCAATTTTACTTGTAAGTGATGGCTTGGAGATTTTGGTAACAAAAACCTCTTAATAATGACCAATTATCTTTAATGTCCTTCCATTTTTTAAACAGAATTTATCCACAAACAGTTATGTATGTCTACAATAGTCAATAAACTGAAATAGAGTGTGAACCTGGGATCAAAACACTGTTATCAACATATATATATAATCCTGCAACTGGCACTGCCATTGTCGGAATACACACGTCACATGTATTTTTGCAGCAATTGAAAACAGCTGTTTTTTAGCATGTGCATGAATTTGACAGACTTACTTTCTGAAATTGATTAAAAAATTAAAAGTAACAATAACTGTTGAAATAGGAATGGAAAAAATGGAACACCCTCCTAGAATTATAGATTAAAAATGATTAAAAGTTATTTTAGTTTGATTTCTGGTAAACACAATACAACCCCTCTGTCAGTTTCTTGACTTTTATTTCAAATTACTATATATATATATTAATATTTGCAAATAGATGAGCTACAGTGCAAAATCAGGATTTATTTATTTTTTTTTTTCATCCTTTTCTGTTTTTCTTTCTCTTCCAGTCTCCTGTTTTTCTTCTTTTCCTGTTTCTCTTAATAAGTTAATATATGTGTATTTTTTATCAATATTGCAAGCTAGTGTACATGTGAGCTGTGTGATGTCTGAGTGAATATGATATGCTATGAATGTAATCAATACCATATATTGCTGAAAATTCTGAATAAAAAAAAAAAAAAAAACTGTTGAAATAACAAATTTTTTGTAAATGTTGTAATGGACAAGGTTATCTTTCGAGAATTCATAAAATTGCTTTCATACTTGTTGAAGTTTGGAACTATATTTCTGTGCAGTGTAATAATTTTGGCGTATGTGTTCAGGCAAAATATGTAACATCAGTGTCAGGTAAACAAAAACTAAACAAGGAAAGTGTTGCATTTTGGTGTGGGACAGAAAGACAAAAGTGGCTAGTCTCACTTTTTTCTCTTTTTGCTTGGCAAAATACAGTTTACATTTTAAGACAATGATTATATATTCTCTATATACAGGGTTTTCCATAATTTTGTTAGTAGTAGGTGTGTAGTGAAAGTAGGAGGCTGGCCTGCCATGTACATGTAGTTGTGTACGGAACATTATTACGGAACTGGATTGGTGTAGGCGGCCAAATGATCAAAGAAGCCGGTCAAATTGGCCGGCGACCAGCTCTTATGGAAAACCCTGATATAACAGATTATAATGACCAATTACTAATAAACGAAACACAAAAAAGGAGAAAAAAACGTAAAAAATTAATAACTGATTTTTTTATCATTAAAAGATGTATATATGTAGACCTTTTAGTTAAGTGTAATTAATGACTTTTCATGTTGTCTTGAGTATTTAAGACCTGTTTTTTTCACTTTTTCTCTAATTTAACTTGGCGTATATACTACAAAGCAATATGTGCTCCTGGAACCCACACCAGTACACATCTACCAGACAGTGAGGTGGATCAGGGTCAAATATTAGTGTTAAAACCTCAACAAGCATTAATTAGAACACACGATTTTAGATAACAAACCACAAAATAAATGTATGGTCAACACAATATTTAAAGACAGGGAGTTAAAGAGGAATAGATAAAATTCACGGATTAATTTAGCTGTATAAGGTCAAAGGTTATAGGTCAAAAATGAGCATCTGGAAGTTTGAGATAATAATAATGATACTAACTAGAAGTCTGATTTGACCGGTTAGCTAGAAAGAAAGTTAAGGTGTCCATATGAAATGATTTTATTGTATACCGGGTACATGTATATACATCATCATACCAAACGAAAAAAAAATATTACTCTAAATATATAATGACAAGAAAGGGATTTTAAAGTACAAAATAATACCAAAACATAGGAGAAATAAATTTGGGGTAATATTTTTTGAGTTTTTACCAATATTTTTTGCTGAAATTACTTTAATTTTCAGAGCCTAATTTATAACAGAAAGCAGTTTGTTTTACACAAAACTTTCATAAAAACAGAAAGGTACAGTGCAATAACTACACTGAGACTACAAGTCAGAAAGTAATCCTAGATAAAGTTTATAGGAAAAAAGATAACAGTAGAGGTCTTAGATAAAAAGTGCTGAGAAATGTTAGAAAGAACATGATGATTCAACATCAATCTGCTTATAAAGCTATCACACGACTAAATCTGCTGATATTGTCAAATTATCAACATTTGACATAAAGCAAAAGATGTGCAAAAAAGAGAAATGATAACCTTATTCTTATAAATAAATCTGGTTACAACTTGAGAACTTTGTCATCCACATAAAACACGACTATTTCCATTGACTTGACTAAGGACAGTTTCTCTAGCTAATCTATAGCAAAGACTTTCAAAAGTTATATCTCTGTTACATTGCTGCAATTTACCACAATGGGTCATGAGAATTACACACTACAAGAACTCTTTAGTCTTCCCCTCACTATGATCAATGTTGTCCCCGGCAGTATGAATCCATTTTCTAGAGGAGAAATAGGTCACCTCTTAGCCATTTCCTCTCACAAGTAGAATCTCTGATACATCAGTAACCAGAGTCCGAACCACAGCAACCACCTAGTTGTCATTCATTTTTATTTCTATTCACTTGTCTTGTAATAAACTCAAAAATCTCAAACACAGTTAAGGTAAAGATCAACGAATTTTACCAGGATTTTTCTTTTTCAAAAGAATGGACTCCAAAAGTTCTGTGTGAAATTTTGACTCTCTAAACTTTAACATGTGATCAACAAAACCAGGTCAAGCGTAAAATTTCAAGTTACCCATGCAGCACTTTGTCAGTTTTCCCAATTATGGTGTGACAGATATAAACTAAATAAGAGTTTGTGAGAGATCTTAATTACACAGAACTTTACTTCAAATGTCTATCTACAATACGACTATAATCATGTTTTTTCTTTAGCCCTTCAGCTGCTGACAACAAAAATATATCTAGGAGAAGAACTTCATTCTGTGATGTAAATACCATCATAGATCATTAATGGGGAGGGGGGCTTTTGAAAAGACACTACATACCAGGTTTATAAAAACCAATCACTCCTACACACTGACAAAATTACACTTATAACAATAAAAAAGAAATATGTGTTTTTCAAAAAGAAAAATAATTGTACAGGTATATACCTACAAAATATAAGTATGCTAAAATAGTTTGAATTAATAAAGGGTAATATTTGTGTTGAATTGAATGTCAGTACAGATCTAGAAACAGCTATAAAGACCAGCTATAAAGACCAACTAGATATTTCAATTGGATTCTTACAGTGGGAACTTCTGTTAGCTAGAAAAAAATATTTTATAAAAAATTATTATAACAGTTAACAATCAAACAAGCATAAAACAGAGCACTTAAGGTAAGTACAAAAACTATAGAGGAGCGGACAAAATTCTCTCTAGTTAATAGCTCACTGGAGCAACAAATTCAATATGATTTCACTATGTAGATCATACAACTACAGCATATACTGCTCGGTCAATCAGCATTTCAATTTTTATACACATATGTTTTGATCTCAATCAGCATGTTCAGTGCAAGCATATTCTCTACTTGTAGCCAAAAAGTTCAACAAGACAACATAGCTGTCCTGATGTCCTGGGCATCTGGGCTGATAATTAAAAGTATTAATTTGTTTGTTTTTCATTTGTTCAATCAATAACGGACAGTGATAGATCAGTACTGTTCACTAAAAATCATATATAAATTTAAAGAAACAGAGTAGTATAATTTCCATGACCTGTAGGTTGGGTTTCAATAGAGATATAGGTTAAATAACTAAATAACTTCTGTTTTCATATATAGATCATTATTCTCAAAAACAAAGATTTTAAAAAGAAAGCCATGAAAGTGAAAATATACAAAACAGAAGAATGTGAATCTTTGAAGAAATTTTCTTAATTTTGTTTAGACCATGCAAACTACAATGGTATTACTAAAGTATATACTTACAAGCGAAATGTGAATTGATGAACAGAAATGAAGTTCCAAAGAATGAGAATGAGACAGCAACAGCACCTTTTGTCTTCACCATGGTTACAGCCCTCGTTGTAACCTGGTCTTCCTCAGGTTCTGTTATCAACAACAAATAACCATTTCCATCACCGATGATTTACGACACGCGAAGGAAAATATTTATATTACAGCTTATTTTACATATTAACATAATAACTGATACAGTTAAGGTTACATTTTGACCTCAACTAAACTTTGACCTTAGCAGTCATGGCACCAATTTTATAGCTAGATTTTTCAGAATTACTTTTCTACTTAAGCAAACACATTAAAATTTTCTGTTTAGGGAATATACCTGAACAAAACCAGATGAGGTCCCTGCGTATAAAGATGGCAAGATGAAGTGATCCATGTGTGGCAGAGTAGAAGAGAACATGAGAAGTACCAAGGGTGGTCTGGATAATTACTTCCCACTCCTTCCTGTTCAGTCAAATCAAATATTTCAAAACATGTCTAAGTGACATAATTCTTGTATCAAATTTACACACATAGAAATGTAACAAATAAAACATCAGTTCAACAAGAATGTATATGATGTTTATAAGAAAAATGTTTGATATGGTAGCACTGATGATGTAAATCCCGGGTTGGGATCGAAATTGACCTGAAATGAGTGACCCGGGTACTTGTTAAAGCCCTATTCCCAATATTTGTTTAGATATTGCTTACTTGTTCATGTTGTTTTCTTGTGTACCTATTGCATAGATATCCTGGACAAAGTCACTGGCTTCTGGTAGGAGGAAATCCTGTAGGCTGGCCTTGAACTCCTATACCCAAAGAAAGGCGTACAAAAAGGATCAACAACAACATCATTCTAGAAATTTAACACAACATTTCAAAAGGTACAGGAAGATGAAGACAATAGAAATGCAGGGCTCTCACACCCCATTTTGGAAATGGGGCCCGGGGCCCTTAGAATTGGGAAAAATAGCTGTGTTTTCCTTAGAATTGGGAAAACTTGGGGTCTAAATTGGGGAAAAAAAAGATACTATTTTGCATTGAGAATGGGGCCGAATATTTTCCCCAAATCTGGCAGATCGAGAGCCCTGAAACGTCTTCTTGTTGAAATCGTGTTCTATATATCAACTTTATTTATCTTACAACAATTGTGAAACAGGTGATCAGCTTATATTAATCACACTTGTTGGCCCAGATGGCAAGGAGACTTATTTTGTGAGAAAATTGGAGTAACCTAGGAAAACCCATGTGGTTGGGCAGGTGACTCCATAATTTTTATGTCTGTTCCGGGAATCGAAACCCAGATATCGAGGTGAGAGGTGAGTACGTTACCACTGCACTGTCCAATCATCTATCGTGATCTCATGATCTCCTTTGGAAATATTCTATTTCATAGTCCAATATGAACATATATGAATTTGATGCTTGTTATATTAAGTATAAAATATAAAGATGGTTTGATTAAATACAAATAAGATGGATGCTTGTTATTACAGTATTCCTGGTGGTTTGATTTTTATTAACTCAGTTTTATTATTGAAAACATGATATCTTTTGTATTTACATAAACTTACATCATGGTGCATAATGTTGATAAAACATGTACCTATGGGCACACGGTCACCTGGTTTTGATCTCGCTCATTGTAATATTTTTTTTCAAATTTGGCCTAGCTTTAATTAATGTAATTTTGGATAACAAAAGAGAAGATAATGTTACGACTCAATACTGGTCAAATATATATTTCCATAGATCTCGGCATCAGTAAAACTGATGATTTTAATGCAATATGGACAATTACTTTACCTTAAGGTCACCCATGTTCCAGCTCCCAATCATCACCTTGACTCGTCGATCTTGTATGTACCGGTCAAGTTCGGAGGCGCCCAACATATCGGACGTCACACTTGAATTGCCACTTCCCATCCTTATACAAATTGATAAAACTATGCAATATATAGCAGCATGAATATCTAGATGTTGTCAGGAGTAGTAGTGAAAAAGATGATATCATTATAAGATATTGATTCATCACAATTTTCAAGTTACAGTACATTTTTTCATGAACTGAAGTATTGTGTAATCATATTTCAGCTAAAAAATTTATAACATAATTTTAATTGATAGAGAAACCCAAATACAGTTTGGTATTTCACTGTACTTTTGACTCTAACTGTCTGTAGCAATTTTATCAATACCTTTTTGGTATAATATATTTCCCTATTTTTAGAATCATATACTCATGAGTATAGAGTACAATATACTATAACCATCATACCTTGCTCGGGCCTCTGCTATAGGTATTTGGTAGAGAACCCCTGATGACGACATAGATCGTTGGGACATGGTGTCAAATGGTGGATGGATAGGTGGTTTCTGAAGAGGACTGCCTGACACTCTTGGAGAACTGGGCACACTCTCAAGGTACTTATTGAGTGTATAAGATGAGTCAGTCTTATAGGCAGTTTTTAATGCATGCGATGAGATATCTTCACTTAATGGTGGAGGGTGGTTCTTTGAAGTAATCGGTGCTAACTTCCCAGTCTTAAGTGGAAGGGAATCACTGCTCAGAATATCCTGATATCTATTGCTGATGTCTTTTTTCAAATCTGCTTCTGAATCTATTGTCACATTTGGATCACCTCTTGGTGAAGGAATTCCAATAGTATTATCATTCGGCCCTTTTGGCTCGAGATTTTGGTCCATACTTCTTAAATCTGTTTGTGAACAAGACTGCTTTTTAGACTTCACTCCTACCTCTGGTTCCTCACCTGAAGAATTTGGATCACGAAACCTTTTCTCACCTTTTTGTTTAATCCCTTTTGGGTTTACATTTTTATTGCTATCTGGCGTAGTTACAGATGTTTTGCTCGAGCTACTTTTTTGCTCCGAGCGTGGTGTAGATGGAGGTTTTGGTGCAAAAGGACTATTTCTTAAGGATTCCACAGAATTGGTTCTTTCATTAGTTGCCATTTTCAAGGCCCTAAAACGATGTATTGTAGCATCAGAAGGTGCCTTTCTACTGATGCCATCCTCTTTATCATCTTCACTGTCAGAATCAACGTCCATAGGAGGAGGAGATAACTCCTCTGGTTGTAACACACTCTTATTTTTCTTTTCCCTTGGTTTGGGTTTAGGAGTGACTTTGCTACTGTCGTTTTTACCAGAATCTTGCTGATCAGAAAATTTTCCACTCCCAGTTACTATTTCCAATGCTGTATTTTTACTGATAACGGCATCATTATTGCTGTTGGAGTTAAATTCTGTTTTACTGAGTTCTGCATGTTTGGTCTCTGTTAATCTGCTTGCATTGGATTGAAGTGAATATGTTGAACCAAATTCACTTCCACTTTCGTTGTTGCGCCTTTTCTCTGTTAGCTTTGAAATAGCACTACGCTTCTTTCTCCCTTTGTGAGGGACAGATGTTCCTGTTTCTGTTGGAGGCTTTTTATTGTTCTGGTTTAGAGTAGTATTTTCCACTTCCATCTTGTTTCCATGATACATCAATAAAATTCAATAACACACACACAGCTTTTCCTTTCAAAGATTCCATGGAATCTGTAGAAGTAAAATATAGAAAAACAAGATTGAAAAATAGCTATCTGAATTCCATTCTATGAAAACTATATGACTTACATACAGTATGTAATATAAATCTTTGTAATTTAATTAAATAGTTGGATTTTTTCCTAATTACAAAGAAATTTTCATTATTATGTACCCTTTTAATTTGGAAAATTTCAAAACATTCTGAAGACCTAAGAAGTTATCATATTCATTGGGTATTTAATATGACAGCAGAATGTCCTATGTCTTAATGCTATCTACTATACCTGTCACATCCGTATATTAAGCACATCATGTACCATACATGTGTTACACAAACTTCTACATTACGACCGACGTATACTCGAGATCTTATTTTAACTAAATACTGTCAGAGAGTTGATTACCTGTTTCCATGTGCATGGTCTGTCAATAGTTTAAAAAGATTGATTAAGATTGGTAAGCAACACAATACACTTTCGAGATGAAACATCCAAATGATTAACATTAATGAGTAATGTAATCTCACCGCCTAGCCACTGTCAAAACAAAAAATTGCAAATATTGTTATGCTTAGCAACTTCATTACAAATGTATTTTGCAATCAAATGCACCATTATACCTTTGAGATATGATTATGTGATGTGCCTACTTCAAAACATATCCAAATATAACATAACTTACCGGGTCAGTTCAAAATTTCACTTGCAATTTCCAAAACTTTTCAACGAGGACGCGATTTTTTGCAGTTTGTTCGTCCATGTTGGAATTTTATGAAGCTACACATGCGCACTAGTGTTACATAAATCTCTGTCTACCAAAAACTTTGTAGGACGTACGTTAAAGTTGATTCAAGCGTTTCTCTCTAAAGCAATGTGTTAATGTCGCAATGTAAGACTATTTTCCGCAAATCTAATTATATCAATTGTGAAGTCTACATCGTACCAAACGATTCATACAGATATTTAAGATATAGTAAGATATCAAAGTTATATATCGTTTAGGATATCGAAAGTCGCAAACAAGAGGCACTGTAAGTACTTCCGCAAAACGGTCGGCCTAATCCAGTAACAGTTACATGTATGCACCAGGACAATTTCTCAGGGTTTTTTCAGGCATTGTGAATATTTTCACAAAAATTCTCGCTGAATATTGTAACGTAAAATATTATTTCAGGCTGTTTCAATATTGCTATTTTTCAGTAAATAATTTTAAGTCGCCTGTAATTAAGAGTTCTCCTTTGATGGGCCCCTTTCATATAGTGTGACAAGTAATGCTTGATTAAGTTGACTGCTTACCAACACGAATTGTTTGACAATGGAGGACGGGCTTAGTCGTAGTAGGGCGAAACGTGAATGTTCAAAAAGCACTGCAGAAACTTCTTAAACAGACTTTTGTGAGTTGTCAATTATTCTAAATGACCATTTCTTTGCACGTTGGTGTCATGACAGCTGATGAAAAGCCAGAATCCAGCCATGAATATAATTTTTTTCTCGATAGACAACTTCAGAACAAACTTTTGGATTTTGACGAACAGGATATAGACTCAAGATATTTCCAAAATGTCAAACTTGAGGGAAAGGCTTTTAGAGCACAAGCACGAAGTGAGGAGGTTACAGGATGGATATTTGATGCCAAAATTAATTTTAGAAAACCTGAAAAGGAATCTAGTAGACAGTCGAAAGAATTTATTCAACCATGGAAAGATTACAAGACAAAACAACAAAAAGATGACTCCTATATGTTTAGACATTATGGGGACCTGAAGAAATATATTCAACAATATCGTGAAGAGCATGCCAATGCAAACGGATTTCGGCCTCCGGGGGTATTAAAGTCCGATGTGCCAACTGGAGACATCCGGAAATACCTTCATCACCATTCTGCTCCAACTCCAAGTGTTGGTGCTACACAACATCAAACCTCAACACAATCTCCAGCCTCGGCACAAACTCAGGTTTCATCAGTCTGTACACAGTGTACAAATACTAGTAATCAGCAATTGATTACTGCTTCTATGTATTACACTAATCGGAAAGATAGTTCATTTTCTTTACCTAATGGTGCTTCAGTGAGTAACCCTCGGACGACAGTTAACCACAGTCATAGTCATGGACATCAGTGTAGTAAACATAATCATATTAATCCTGATCACGCCTATAAGTATAAATTAGCCCCGGATGCTGCATGGAGATCCGATTCAGTTCAATCTTCAAATGTGGATTCCGACCGAAATGACGGTATTAAAACCCCTCGAATAAATTCAGCAAAAGGCGATAGAGGAAAATCTCCTACGAAAGTCATGGTTCCTTCTGGTGCTTCAAATGGGCCCCATAAAGGCCACCCATTACAGACCGTCACTGTGTAAGTATGCGGAAATTAGATGTGAAATGTTTAAACCTTTCAGTGTAGTTAATGATAGTTGAAATTAAAATCTTTTGTTATTAATATACCTAATGAATGAAAGAATTTGATATTGAACATGAATATTAATTTCAGTGAGTCCATGCACCATCATCTTCTACATTAAAAGTGCTGTGGTGATCCCTTAATGAATTGGACAATCTGGGGTCCTCATGTGTGTTATTTCAGTTGGTAGAACATTGAAATATAGGATGTCAGATCTATGCCTGTTTATCTAAAACAGGAAAAAACAACACCTTTCCCAAATGATATGTGTTGGCCTATAGACATCCATATGAAGATATAGATGTATTACATTTTCAACCGTTTTAAAATTATCAGGTATTTTATCAATTACTTTTAATTTTTTTAGATGGAATGTATAAATACAGGACTGCATCTCAATCAATTTACCAGTTAATTTTCAAATTTATGCCCAGTGCGTCATCAAGCTTTCTTTTGATAAATAATATAGTCGTCCAGGATTAAGTTGTGTTCAAATCTGCCTGGTCACAAAAACTACAGTTCAGTACACAAACTATACCTACAGTGATTTTTAGGGTTCAGATATTTGAGTCCTGAACTCTTGATTTCCTGCAGCACTAGCTCAAATTCTGAATACCTACTATATCTCTCAGTAATGGCACTTGTCAAAATTTTTGAAATGGTGTTTAAGACTCGTTGAAAAATTCCTACAAAAAAAATTACTGATCAGCATTTAAACCAGTCTTATCACTGGTAAGAAAAAACAAAGATCACTGTTGTATTGACTCTTAAAAATTCATCTCATGATGCAGAATTTATCACTATACTCTTAATATCATTCAAGATTTGTATGGATTTTGTTTAAATTAAATTTTCAGTACGTGCTGAATAATGAAAATTAGGTCTCAATTTAATTAGTTATAATTGAGTATTTTTACTAGAAAAAAAAAGATGAATTTTGCATAGCCCTATTGAACTGGCCATTTATCGATAAAGAAATTAAATTATTACTATGTAAATATATACATTTTTCAACTAAACTATTCATGTTATAAGCTGGTATTGGGTTTTTGATTATCAATACAACCTTTCTTTTTTAATTGTGGTTGATGGATGACATGTTTCTCGGCATGGGATATTTACTCTACACTACACAATAGTCGGCATATATTGATCTAGATCTTATATCCATTATTTACATGTCACTGATAATAAAACTATTATTTTGATATTGATTATACATACACGTCCTGAAATGTTTACAGAGGGTCTTCGTAACAAAATGTTGATATATCCTTATTTATGTGAAGTTTAAAGTCGTAGTTGATTCTAGGAAGATTTGTATCAGATGATGAAGTATAAAGGGTGAATTTTAACCCATACACAACAATAAGTGTTAAACTCCTGGATTTATTGTTTCAAATTTCTGGTTTTAGTTCCCAGATAACACTATCAGCAAGGCATTGTATGAAATCCATGTCACACAGGGAACTTCACACTTTTGGAATCTGAAGGATTTGTATTTTGAATGATTTAAATGTCATCGAATTATGATGTGATTTGTCAAGATTAGCTGTGAAATAATGAAGTTTCAAATTTATTATTCTACCAACGTATTCACAAATTCATAGGGTTGTGTTGGAATGGGTTTAAATTGAATCTAGTTTGTAGGTACACACTGTGCCAAACCTGATAATAACTTGTCAATCCTTTTTATGGATCTTTTATTTAAAGTCGATCCCTAATTTTCGATCTACCTGAACCTCAATCTAAGCTTAATTTGTAATGATATATTGGTACTGTAATATCACATATGTGTGGTACCCGTTACACTTTGTAACTTGAGACAGTGTCTTTAATTAAACTAACTTAAATGTTACATCATCTGATCGTTTTCTGTAGTTCACACATATAACAATTAATAATTAATGTTGACCATGTTAATGTTTTAGTAGAAAAAAATTTCCAAGTTCAAAAATGTTCATTAAAATGAAAACGAAATTCAAAAACTGTTATTCGGCTGTACATGTTACCACTGAACGTAACATTGATATTTTAATACTGTTTCCTGCAACAGGAATACTGCAACCTGTTAACATGTATAATCTATTAACATAACTATGGTAAGATAATCCATTGATATAATTTTCGCTCGGTGGATTTATTATAAAGTCTAAAAATAACGATAATTAAGTTAAAGAAATGTTGCAGTAGAGACAATTTTCGATCTAGTGATATTTTAACCTCCTCACGATCTATTTATAAATAGACTGCACAAATTGTGGGAAAACATTTTAATGACGTACTTTGATAGAATCCAATTTAATTATATTATCTTTGTGATTGGTTATCATAGATGTAGATTATGTACTGGGCTGAGAATCTAACCCCAAAGACTGTTAATATAAACGGTTATAAAATGTCTGGAACTTTATAGGGTCACAGTACACGTTTTTGTTTGTGTGATATATGTAAAGTACAAAATGTCTCGTTTAATTTATGGGAGCTCATGTAATATCTGATATCAATGAACAGTGTATGCTGTGTATTTTGTATGTCTCACACTATTGCAAATAGTTAAGCATTTGTTACAGTAAATACTGTTAAATACAAATTAAAAGATTCAAGAGACCGGGATTCAGTATAATTGATTACTGATTTTTTTTATGGTTTTATGGGATCTAATATAATTTTTCTGTTTTTTTTTTTTTTTTTATTAACATCAGATATCAATGAACAAAAATTTATATAAAACGTACTGTTAGGCTGTGTAAGAAAATATGATATCATTTTCTTCTTGTTTATGTTTTGACCCTAAAGTCGGCTATAGAGCTAAAGACAGAAAATAGATTGATATCGATCACAGTTAATTGTACTTAAATCATAGAAAAAATTAGTTCAAATTTTTTTTAGCATATTTCAATGATTTTGAAGTGCAACATAATGTTTTGGACTGTTGTTAAAAGTTCAAGGAGGCTGACACAATCCTGGATATTTTTTTGATTTTGAAATATTTTCTTTGGCTTAACTTGAAGTTCTTTACTACCAAATATATATATACAGTGTATATAAGTAATCTCTTTACGATAGACTATAAATCTAATAGAGCTCCTTATGTGCACGCAAAAAAATAAACATTGAAATTCTTGTTGTTGAGTGTGAGGTAAGATTAAAACCCTGGAGGCAATCAAACTGACATTAGATTTGTACGTCATGAAAGAAGCCATATCCCCTTAACAAATTCTGAACCTTCCTTTTGAAGGAAAAATTACAATGCTGTTCTTAAAAGTAAACAGGCTGTGTACATGTATTCACTGGTACTGTGAATTGTGAATGCTTGTATGGCCCTCATTCATGAGGTTTTAGTTTGATATCTAGAGCTAATATACACAAAGACTATTCCTAAATCATATCAGGTGGAAGGCTAATTCTCTGAGGCTAAATCCACCTAAAGAAAAACCTCTTTTAAGCTTGTCATAACCCAACAAAAAATACCACCAATTGTAAAGCTATTCTAGAGTGTTTTTAAAAGGAAAAGTGTATAGGTCTATTCCTGTAAGTGACTTTGATTTTTGATGGCAGTTTATTTTTGTGGCTGTTGGAGCACTGCAGATGTCAATACATAGTTCTAGTATTATACATTTTGATTAAAACAGGTTTCTGCATTTGTCTTTTCGACTCTGTGAGATGAATCTATTATAATAATTACGTATTATGATTTTATGTAGACTAATGCATCGTATTGTAACAGATGTAAATTTTTTGACAAAACGCATGACATCTAAATGCTATCATAAATATCTAAAGGAAGTCTAGGATGATATTGGTGTATAGTCACGCCCCTAACGCACGATCATTACTTACTATAGACACTTGATTAGTAATAGTTCAGCTACAGCATTTCATCAAGTTACAGAAAATACTGACCATCAAATATAAAGATATCATACAACACATAATACTGACATTATTGTCTATCAAATATTTGATGTTATTTACCGTACCATACATTGTTTTTGTTAACAATTAGGATACTGTTTTAAGGAGATAGTCATTTTGGATTTCAAATACAGCTTTGTCTGTTCTAGTTTGATCTTATCATGATAAGACATTAAGAATATACATTTCTCTGTACATACCTTTCAATCTTGAACAGTGAAGCAAGTCTCTCATTTTGGAATTTGAAATGTTCTAGTTTACAGAGATCAAATTTCCCATGTCTCTACATGTTTTCCTTGTGGGGGATGTAACACAAACTCAATTGAACATTATGTCCATGTTAATGTCAGAACTAATGCAGGAAATGATTTTTTTATGGACGCAGTTTCTGTATTTCTGTTGTGGTTACGGTCCTGGTGTGTTTTCAGTATGGTGATACATTGTACCTTAACATGAAAGTTAATTTATGGTGTTACGATACCTATTGATTACATAAGGTTACAAAATCCATATATATGTAATGACACAAGTAAATGTTATGTTTCCTGTTTGATTCAGTGCCAGTTGTTTAAATCCATTTTATAATCAATAGCTGTCACATATATATATATATAATTGTTTAATTTGGTGTACCACAGTGAGAGTCATTCTATTCATGCACAACTTACATACTTTAATAGCTTTGAATTTTAAGATTGTAAAAAGATTATGGGGAAAAAACACATTCAAATACGTTTAAAATGTTGTTCTATAGAAGACTCTGGTATGATTGATTGAAAAACACCAAACACTTGGTCATAGATGTGTGAAAGTCTGTGCTGCACCTCCAACCCCAACCCGCCTGAAAAGGTTGTTTTCCTTGTCAGTTATTGTGGAATTTTCCCAGTCAATGACATGATTTTGTTGTGTGAAATGATCTGTAAGTGCCGATTTATTGATCCGAGACTGAGAATACTTTCGCTCTGATCTTGTGGCTTTATTTTCCTTCTTGGGATTCTGCGTCATTCCAATCTTCATCAAGTCGGATCCCAAATTAA